TCAAATTGAGTTGAGTTTAAAATTTATATAACTCGAATCAAATCAAATTGAAAGATTTTATAAAAATAAATTTGACTTGACTCGACTCATTAGGAACTTTAATCACAATAGTCTGCAATTTTTTTCATTTTAAAATACCTCAATTTGACAACTTTTATCATCAATTTTTTGAAAAAAGAGTCATTGTTTTCCTTAATATTTATATATAAAACTTGATAGATATCTCATAATATTACCAGAATTATTTGAAAAGCTAGTCTTATAATTAACATCTAATAATAATTGATCAGTTATATTTTTATCATCAAATCCCATAACTGAAGATCCTGAATATCGTATTTCAGTATTAAAAAGTTTTTATAAATTTTGTTTATAGCTTTAAAAATAGTTGTATAGATATTTATTATAAGATTTATTTTATAAACATAACCTGATTTAGTTTATTATTTATTTCAATAATACAAATAATAAATTCTATTTTATTGAGTTTTAATAAACTTTCATATTTATTTGTATAGATATACATATTCATTTTTTTTTTCTAAATATTTTTTAGTTAATAAATAACTACTAGGTATACTGCAAATAGGCCATAATAAAATACTAGAATAAAACTACCAATAGCTATAAGTTGTAGTTTATATTTATTAGAAGATATAAATATTTTATTAGCGAAAAAATAGAGATTTAGAGAATTTTAATTTTTAATATACTTTATTAATATTATAATTTACTAATAAATTTTGAATATGTGCTTTTATTGATTGATAGATCAGTAATTAAAGTTTAATATTCTAAGGATATTGATCTAGATGATAAGTTTTAAACCAGTATTAGCAGGCAGATTCTAGTTAAAACTTGAGTTTAACTAGAATCTTAAGGTCTTAAGATTATGCTTATAAGATTATCTTATATTCCTTATATATAAAATAATCACTATATAGATTCCTAATATTTAAATACTAAAACTATAAAAAAATTTATTAATAAATTATAAAAATTATAATAATTAAATTTATTCTTTATAATAAAATTTTATACAGTCAACTCTTGTTATAACGAACTCTATGTCCTAGACCTCAACTTCGCTATAAGGCTATAGTGAAGATTTTAAGAGATTTGATTGGCCAATTCGCTATAATAAGAGTATTTTTATTATATTTGTTCAAAAAATTCGTTATAACAAGAGTTCGCTATAACAAGAGTTGACTGTAATATTTTATTATAATTAATATTACTATAATAAATTTTAATATGATTATTAAAAATTAATAATAAAATTTTTTAAAATTACAAATTTTTAACTTATAAGTAACTTTAAATTAGAAGAAAAATTATAGAAAATAAGCAGACAAATTTATTTATAAATCTTTTTAATCTAAAATATAATATATATATATTATGATTTATTATATAAAAAATGTAAAATTAAATTATATCTTTAATATAATTATTAAATAAATCAGATGTTATTAAAGATAATATTTTATAATTTATGTTTTGATTTTAAACTTTACTTTTATAAATAATATAATTTAAATTTTAAATAATATTAATAAAAATTGATATTAATATTTATCTTAGTATAATTTTTTTAATCTTAATTTAATAAAATAAACTATAAGAAATTATATCAAAAGCTATTACTATTAATATCTTAATAAATAATAATTACTTGAAATCTATAGTTATTTTTTTAATAAAACAATTTTTTGAATCAACTTAATATCTTAAAATTTAGATATCATTTATTTATAATAAATTATATATTAAAAATAAATTTTAAATAAAATATTAAATTTTATTCTTAAACTAAAATATAACCTTTAACTGATAAATAAATTTAAATATATATTTAATATAATTTTCATCTTTCAGTTATAATATAGATTTTACTTAATATTATTTTCTTCAAATAAATATAATATTTTTTTTTGCTAAATAAAAATTTTCATTAAATACAAATTATGCTTTCTTAAATTAATATTTAAATATTATTATAATCAATAAATTAACAAATAGATTTAATAATATTTTTACTAATATGATTAATTTAAAACTAAACTATAATATTTTATTATATTGATCAATAGTAATCTAAAAATTTTTTTCTAATATTAATAATAAAATAATTATATTAGTTATTATAATTAAAAAAATATTATATATAATTAAGATGATTTATTTAAACTTACTTTAATTAAATAAAATATTTAAAATTTTAGTTTCATTATTTTTTACTAAACTTTTGATATAATTTACTATTTTTACCTTTTTTTGAGTTTTGCAAAACTTTTAATATAATTTTATTTAAATTACTTTTTATTATTTAATAATTGTAAAAATTTTAGATTTTGTCTAATATATAATAATTTTTAAAAATTTTAATTTTAACATTTAATAAACCTTTTAATAAATATTATTCTTTCATTTGTTTTGCTTATAAGTTTGTAAGCAATTTTATTTATTAATTACAATTCTTTTTAATTATTTTTAAATATTTTAAAATATATTATTAAAAATATTAATAGTTTTATAATAAATTTTAAAATATTTCTAAATAAAATTTAAAAAAAAAAAATATAATTAATTAATTAATTAGTAACTTTTAAAAATAAATAATTATAAAAAAAATTAAAATTTTAAACTCATATATCTTGCTATCTATCAATCTTAAAAATGTAAAAATACTATTATTTAATAGGTTTAATATAATAAATCCAATAAACTAAATTTATATTTTTGTAATTATTAGATAATATATTATTTTTAAAAATTAAAAAATTAAAAATTAATATATATTAATAAATATTAATTTTAAAAGTTTAAAAATACTATCATTAGATACATTATAATATAATAAATCTAAAAATTTTATTTCATATTTTTATAATCATTAGATATCAAAATATTTTAAGTTTCTTAAAATATTTTAAAAATAATTTTATACTTATAATTTAAAAGATATATTAGTATCAATTTTAAAATAAAAAAAATTTTATTTTATTATAAATAATTTTATCTTAAAAAAAATTAGCTTAATTCTTATTATACAAAAAAATTCTTTATTTTAATAAATTAATTAATTTAATAGAAAATTTTTAGCTAAAATATATAATCTTTTTTTAAAAGTAGAATTATTAATCCTAAAAGACTAGAAATAATCCTCTTAAATTGATATATTTTGCTAAAATTAATAACTTTTGAAAATTTCTATACATTTAAATAGATTCAAAAAATAAATATTATATAATTTACATAATAAATTTATATATATAGGTTGATTGCTAAAAAAATCAGATTCTGGAAATTTTTTAACAAAATTGAGATTTTTATTACATTTTAGTTTTTGATATTATTAGATTAAAATGTATTAAACTCTTAATTTAAGTGAAAATTTTTCAGAACCTGATTTTTCTAGAAATCCTTCCATATATATCATATTATAAATAATACATACTCTTATTTTTTTTTATTAAAAATATATTATTTAAAATTTTGATTTTTAGTTTTTTTATTATTAGTATTATTATTATTACTTTTTATTTACTTAAATAATAATTTTAAATTTTTTTTTTTTTTACTTTTTAATATTAGGATTTTTATTAAATTTAAAGTTAATTTAATTGTTTTTTTATTTGCTTATACTTTTTTTATTTTATATTATTCTTTTCTTTTCAGATATTTTTGAATTATAGTTTTATTTTATAAAAATTCTTTTGATATCATCAGTAAATTTTGATTGTAAAGTATAGATAATTAATGAAAATAAATTTTTAAGTTATAAAATATATTATTATTTTATTATTTAAGATTTTTACTAATTTATGTTTTAATGTTTAATTCTAAAAAAAAATAAAATAAAGATTATTTTCAGAAACCATTTTGAAGAGCTGAAATTAATTAATTTCATATATGGAGTAATAAATGAAATTTTAACAGTACCCAAAGGAATTCATATAGTCAAATTGGATCATTAACTAGTAACTTTTAATTTGATATGATATTATCAATATCATAGTTTAGCAAAAATGCCTAAACCTTTTTTATTCAGAATCCGATCATTGAAGAAACATATAAATCAATTCGATGCAAAGAAATTTGGAAAATTAACATAAATTAAAGACAATTTATTTATATTACATAAAAAGAACAATAATAATTTATAATGTCACATGAAAATATTTCCATGACAGCCGAAATCTATCATATAATACTTAGAGGAATATATAAAAATAAAATTTTTCAAATAAATAAATAAAATATATCGTTAGTAAGATTAAAATGAAAGTATCGAATCTTTCTTTATCTTGTCCCTTTGATTTTCAGCATCAGCAAATGCATACTATCAAAATTAAAGGATAAATTTTTATTTAGAATAACCATTTGAATTTTTCTATATAAAAAAAAAAAAAAAAAAAATTGAAATACCTTAGCATATTGATCAATATCAAATTCAAACGGCTTCATTCCAAAATTTATTTCAATACATTCGTTGGGGCTTATTAAACCAACAGTTGGATACAAATCACCATCAAATATATATGTTGATGCGATCCCTATAATTTAATGAAACAAAAACAAAAATTAAATGAACAAAGTAAAGAAAAGGTCTTTAATGAAAATCTTTACCTAGATGAATTCCATTCTTTGTAAAAAATACGGTTCCATCCAAGTAATTAATACCACATCCGGCCGTGTCCCCTGTCGAATATAAGGCACCATAATCTCTACCAATTGGACTTTGAAAGAAGATCAAACTTAAATTTTCAACGTGGAAGTATTAGAGAATATCTTATTTTTTTTTTTAAAAAAAATATAAACTTTCTTTAGCTTACATAAACACGATTAATTACCCATCATCACCATGGTATCCAATTGAATCTCTTTCCCATCCTGGCATTCTATTGAGAGGACAACTTTTCTTTCCAACTCCCAATCCAATATTACTATTAAGAAATGTATCTTAAAATTTTGAAAGAGAATTTAATAATAAAGAGTTTAACATACCCCCTTTCTCCCATATCAATAACCTCCATTTCAAAATAATATATTCCGGTTTCAAAAGGAATTGGACAATTAGCTCTTACAGCACCGGTATCCCAAATATTTCGTCCAAGCCCTGTATATAAAAGTCTAAAACCATCTTGAATCTTCAAGTTGGTTGAACATTCGTTGGGATTCCAGCGTGAAGGCAAATGTATAGGACTAAAAGAAGTTTTATTATGTTTGTCTATCCAAGTATCTCGTAAATAATTTGGAATAAATGGTTGATGATTATTTATCTTAGTGATTTGGGTCATGGTTATCGTTAGTGTGGTTTGAAATTGAATATTATATTACATATATTATATTTAAAAATCACCTGAGACACAATCATTGACGATCTAACTTTTTTAAAACGACGTAACACAACAATATATATATATATATTTTTAATAAATAATCTTTTGAAATATTTGTTAAGATTTTACTCTTTCAACTGTATTGTCAACATACCATTGTTACGAAAAGAAATCCTCGCTAAATGCCATATCACCATTCCATTAAGAAAAGATTTTGAGAACAATTCATCACGTGTTGATGTATATATTATTCCAATAATAATTTTTTAAAAAAATACAATAAGTATCCTAATATCCATTCTCTCTTTGGTCCTAAGAATGTTGCAAATTTGATTTCTAAAATATTTTAAATTCGTAGTATAATCAAATTTCCATGTCAAAGAGAGATATATATACACATGAAGTAAAGCATAAAAGTGATTTAATTTGATATAATTTAATCTTGTATCCCAATAGGCATTACACCTTGTTCTGGTCCGTTCATCATTTGGTGGAACCGTTTTAAATATTGTTCAAATTTTCATATTATGTATACTTATTTTTAGAAATCTAAAACTAATTTTTAAATTTGGACAAGTGATGATTAATTATGAACAATTCAATGTTCTTTAAATGTTCACAATGGTGTACATTTTAGGAAATTTAAAAATTTTAAAAACAACATGACTCCCCTTTATATAATGCCTCTGGAAGACGCATTTTTTTTTAAATATAAATATTTTTTGAATTGCACAATTCAATAATGAAATTAAAACACGATAAAATCGAATGCGTACTACGTATAATATTTATCATAGTGACCTTAGTTATATTAATTTACGTAATTTTACAAAAGATATTTATTATAACAGGAATTAAAGTGAGCGAACCATTAATATCAATGAATATACTAGATTTATCAACCGAGGGAATTCCAGTTTTAGATGCTTTCGTGTGTGCTTCAGCAATTTCTGGTATATCAATACAAAAATTAAAATTTGGTAAATTAAATGATAATGGTACAAGAGAAAATGATCATTTTGAATTGTTATCATCAAGTTATATTAAAAAAACCACAACAAATTCTCTAATGGCGGGAGATTGGACAAAAGGAGAAGTTTGGCCTTGCTTTACTTTTGAACCATCAAAATCTGATGATTTAAGGTTTCGTGCGGGAACATTTGATCAAATAATTATCCTGGTAGAAACTCAAAGTTCTTTAACAGTATTTGATAATCACGAGTTGTTATTTGGATTGTTTAATGAAGAAAGAAACATATCTGTTGTTGCACCTTTCGTATCTCCGTTACCCACAATAAACACTTTTACTTTTAGTCATTTTGAAATGGTTGATATTTATAATGAAAAACATAACTATTTCACTATAAATAAACAAACCGCTAATAGAGTCATAGGTGGTTTCAACGTTACAAATCTCATGGCTAGATTTTTATATTCTCCCGACTCATATTTTGTAAGTTATGCGAATTTTCATTTTTTTTTTTTTTTTTTTGCGATATTTTTTTATTTTATTAATTAATATTCCTCCCTTGAAATAGGTGTTAAATTATACTGGAAAAAAACCTTTTTCAATATTCGAAATTATAGGCGCTGCAGGTGGTCTTATCACTTATGCATTAGGTACCTATTGGGTATTGTTTGGTAGAGGAACGTATAGATCGTGGGGAATAATTCAAAGATATCTCTTGAGAAATTCTCCAGATTTAAATCAACCGAAAGGAGAAATGGATTCTTCTCCGTTATCCTTAATAGAAAGTCAATCTATAAATGCAAGTTCAAGCGTAACACCAACAAGCGCTGCTTCAACTTTTTATTTTGGTATAAAGGGTGAATCAAACTATATTAATTCTCCTCCTATTAACAGTCCTATTTCTAATTATGATAAAGAACTTTTAAAAAAAATCGATTCCTTAATTAATGATAAACTCTGGTTAATTGAACAAACTTTAAGTCGTCACTATCTATCGGGTTTTAGATTACGAAGTTATGACACAACAAATGCTTTCTTGGATGGTCACGTTAAAGTAAATATGAAGAAAGATAAAAATAATGTAAACGAGGAATTAATTCATATTTCAACAGAAATTAATGAAATCGAAGTAATTTCTGACACTAATATTACTATTGGACCAGTTCCTCCAGCAAAATATAAAAAATAATTTATTGTTTATATTCATTATATTTATTTGTTTATATAAAAAATTGTTATATATTAAAATATATATTGAATTGGAAAAAATATAGTTTTAATATAATTATAAAATTAAAAAAAAAATAAAATAAAAAAATAATTTAATTATTTTAAAAGTATTTTTTCTACATATTTGCGTAATTACATACAGAACGTATAATTACAGTACGCGAAGATAAAAATTCAGTATAGAAAACTTTTAATAATTCGCGCAGTATTGCAGTATATGATCAGCAACAAAATTTTATATTGTCACGCAAGCTTATATTTTTATATAAGAATGGCAGGTTTGGAATTGTAAATATAAACTTATATACCGTTCATATGAAACTATAAATCTAATACTGAAGAATGGAGTCCGAGGTTGTTGGATTGGCCATCAAAAAGTCCGGACCTCAATCCAATTGAAAATATATAGGCAATTTTAAGAGGCGTGTAGAGAAACAGGTTAGTATATTGTTGGTAAAAAAAAAATCAATCACTACTATAGATGTTTTTCTTGATATAATTCAAAAAATAGTAGGAGGAAATTGAACCCGAAATATTTATTAATTTAATTAGTAGTATGTCAGAACAAGTAATTGAGGGTAATGTTAATAAGATAAGCTATTAATTAAGCTTAAACAACTTTTTTTCTATAATAATAAAGAATATATATTTTAATTTTTATGCAATTTCTATTTATTTTCAGAGTATAATAAATTAAGATGTGATTCCGAAAACTTTTCTCGCGCACTGTATATAAAGGATAAAAATTTAATTAAAATTTTGTTTATATAGAAATTAATTTTTGTTAAGGATTTTCAATACAGTCAATTCTCTATAAATGCATTCCTTGGAATTGAAAAAAAGTGTGCTTATGCATTTATAGAAAAATATAGATTTTACATTATAAAGTATAAAAATTATTTATTAAACTAAAAATATTGTTCTTTATTATACATACATATAATATGTGATTCTTGTAATTTAATTTCTCTAAAAAAATTCTATTAAATAAAAATACAATAATATTTATATTGTAATAAACATCTTTTTTTAAAAAATACTAAAGTTTTGCAAAAAGAAAACAAAATTTAATCTAAGCATTATAAAAATAATTTTATCATGAAGATTATAGCAAAAATAATACAAGATATTTCTTTATAAAAAGAATTTGCAATAATTTTTTTAAATTACCTATTTCTAAAGGTTTAAACTGGTTGATAATTCTTTAACCGATTAATAACTGGTTAAAATATTTGTTAACCGGCTAATTAACCAGTTAAAATTAACTTTGGCTAGTACTATAAATTTGATCAGAGTTAGACAATAATTTGCAATTATAAAAATTTTAATTCTAAACAGAAAATAAATTTTGATTGAATTTAAATTCATCTATTTTAATCAGTTAAAAAAAATCTTTAACAGTTAATATGTTAACCATTTTAACTGATTAATTAACAGTTAAAAATTAATCAGTTCCAATATCTATCTATTTTTTTTTAGAGTTCTGAAAATGACTTATATAAACTCGTATATTTGACTTGTATGATTATGCATAATTGTAAATTTTAGTTACACACAATAAATAAGTACTTTAAATTAAAGGTATGTAAGATAATTTTGACTCAAAACTCAATTTAACTCAACTCATTAGAAATACTATTTCTTTTTATATACTTTAATAAACAATTTTTTAATTTTTTAAATAAATATTTATAAGTTTATGTAATTCTTTAATATTATAAATCATTATTTTATAAATATAAGATTATTTTATTAAAAAAGATAACTAGAAAATTTTTGAAAAAAATGATAATATAAAAATTATAATAAATGTAATATATAAAGGTAATACAAATTAGATTTAGTTTAATTAAAAATTTATTTAAACAAAAATGATAACTAAAATTATGCAAAATCATATAAATATATTTAAGAATTTCTAATAATGATAAATCAGAAAAATTTATTATACAATTTAAATAGTAAAAATATATTATTTGACCAAAAGTAGTAGATATTCAATTTTTATTTATTAGTCAAAAATGTAATAACATAATAATAAATGTTAAAATTTTAATATTTATTAGTCAAACTATATATAAAACTAATATTTAGTTAGCCAACCATTATTTGCAATACATGCTTCAATTCTTCAAGGCATACTTTTAATTAAATTTAATAAAATATCATTAGAAATTCAATTTCATTCTTCTTATAAAGCAACCTCTAATTTTCTTGCATATTTTGCAGATCTAAAATAAGTTCTGATGCATTTCTCTAATTCTAATCATAAGTATTTAATAAGATTCAAGTCTAAGGATTGACTTGACTAATTTTCTAATATTTTAATCTTCTTCAGCTTTATCTATTCTTTAATATCTTTAGTAATATAAATGAGAGTATTATCATTCTAAAATAAATAACCTCACCTATTAAAATCATTATCAATTAATAATAGCAAATATGAGTTAAATATTTAAATATAATTATGATGATTAATTTTTTCTTTAACTTTTACTAATGATTCTAACCCTTTTTCAAAGAGATAATCCTATATCATTACATTACCATTACTATACTTTATTGAAGGAATTATATTTTTAATATTAAATCTTATCTTAAATATTCTCAAAATATGACCTAAACTATCATTTTTAAATATTGTAAAATGACTTTCATCACTTCAAATAATAAACTTCCATTTTTTAACATTTTAATTTTTTCTTTTAATATACTACTTTAATCAATTTTCTCTTTGTTAATTATTAAAAAAAGATTTAGAAGCCAGAATATGAGAAAAAAATTTAAGTTCATGTAAACTTCTTTTGATAGTTATAGTGAAAACTCCAGTTTAGTTTTTTTTTAAAATTTATTTTTATTTGTTTAGCTGATTAATGATTATTTCTTTTAACAATCTATTTTAAAGTCTTTTTATATTTAAAATTCAAGAGTTTTGAATAGCTTATTTATAGTTATATTTTGAGATTTTTTCCTTTATAAAAGTTTTGAATTATACAGATAACTGATGATCTTGAAATCTTAAGAATTTTAGAAATAATATCACCCTTAAAAAGATTAATATTTAACTTTGTTCTGATTTTGTTAGATTGTATATTTTTGAGTTTAAAAGAAAAAAACTTGTTTAATTCCTGTATTTATTAACTCAATCTTTTTTATTTACAAGTAAATAAAAAATGATGTCATAACTTTTGTATGTATTATACTATTATGTATTAAAATTTTAGGCTTAATTATTATATATATTTTTTAGTAAATAATAAAAATTAAGTATCTGCTACTTTTAGTTAAGTAGTGTATATTTAAAATTAATTTTTCAATTTGAAATCAAGTTAAAAAATATATTTATATTTATATATAATACATTTACAAAAAATTGATTGTATTAAAAATTACTTTTAACAAATATCATTATTTTTTAAATAATTAGTCAGTTAATAAATATTTTAATAATTAATAAAAATTAATATAATTAACTAGTAATTTTTAAAGATATAAGTATTTTATAATAGAAAAAGAGAAAATTATTAAAAATTTTTTTTACTTTATAAACTAAATATTATTATTTTTAGTAAAATTAATTCAGATTTAATATTAACTCAAAAAAAATTTTTTTGGTAGTTTTCTTCCTTTTTACTAATATATATAATTATTACTAGATATAACAAATCAGCTATTTTAGAAGATTTAATTTAGTATAGAATATATAATATTAATAATTTAAATTAAATATATAGTTCTGATCAGAATTATAATTTATATAACATAAATTATCTTTTTTAGAATTTTTTTTATAATATTTAAATAAATCAGAATTTTTTATAAAGTTATTTTATTAGAATTAGAACTAACTATTTTACTTATACAAAACTGTTTTAATCATTTTTATGTAATGTTAAATAATAATTCTATTAAATATTATAAATCTAGCTTGAATTACTATTTAATCATATAACTATTTAATATTATTAACATTAAAAATTTGTCCTAAAAAAATGATTTACAAAAGTCATTAGATTTAATTTTATGTAAATTATATTAAGAAAGATCTTGATCAACATATTACATTATAAAATCAAACTGATTTATTTAATTTGTAGGATTTATAAAATATATCTGATTTATCTGATTGATTTATTTTATTAAATTTTTTATATATTTATTATTTTAATTATAATTATTATTTTTATTATTTCTTTTATTATTATCATTATTATAATTTATCTTATATTTTATATCTTTATTTTATTATCTTTTATTATTATTTTATAATCAAAGTTTACTAAAATAGTTAGTTTATAATATAATAAATAGTTAGTTATAGCAAATTCATTTTGTATAAATAAAATAGCTTTTTGTTTAAGTTGTAAATTAACTTATTTATAAGGTTTATACAAGTTTCATTAATATAAATAAAGAAATTAATTTAAATTCATACAAATTTACTTTTTTCTTTAATAATATCCTGATTTAGAATTTGTTATGATATTCTATACTAATTTATTATTGAGTTTATTATTATGAGTTTGACTAATATACAGAGGGTGAACAAAAGTATTTACACACCTTCCATAACTTGAATTAATGCTAGTAAAGTCATATTATCACAATAATAAATTGTGTTTACATGATACTTAAGTATTTATTTATATTATAAAAATAAAAAAAAATAATAATTTTATTTTTTTTTAATAAATTTTACTTCTCTGAAAATCTAAAAAAATGGTAAAAACTAAAGAATTAACTGCAATAGTTTTTCAAGCGAAAAATAATTTTTATACATTATTTTAGCAAGATCAAATCCTGATTTTAATCAAATTGAGAATCTTTGGACTGAAGTTAAGAAAAATATCTGAGCTTATAAAAAGCCTCTATTTAATTTGACTGATATGTTAAAAAGGCTTGGCAAGAAATTTTAAAGCATACTATCGAAACCTAATCGATAGTATACTACAATAAATT